GCTAGCGGCCAGCCACTAGTCACCAGCCACTAGTCACCAGCCACTAGTCATTAGCCACTAGTCGCTAGCCGCCAGCCACTAGCTGCTAGTGGCCAGCCACTAGCCACTTGCAACCAGCTGCTAGCCGCCAGCCACTAGCCGCTAGCGGCCAGCCACTAGTCACCAGCCACTAGTCACCAGCCACTAGTCATTAGCCACTAGTCGCTAGCCGCCAGCCACTAGCCACTTGCAACCAGCCGCTAGCGGCCAGCCGCTAGCCTCCAGCCGCCAGTCACTCACAGCAGGTTGACCTTAGCCACCACCTGCTTGCAGCCCGTCTTGGAGTAGCGGCGGCCCGCGGCCTCGGGGTAGTACTCCACCTCGGCGGCCAGCCGCTCCACGTGGGCGCGGTCCGGGTAGAAGCCCTCGCGGCTGACCTCGTCCAGGAAGCAGTCGGCCACGTGTCTCCGCCCCCCCGACGCTGGAGGCGTTGTGAAGCAGGTGGCGGGTGATGTGGGCGTGGCCCAGGTTGCTTAGCAACAGGTAGACGGCGTTCAGGTGCTCGTTGGAGCGCTCGGCCTCGTCCAGGACGAAGAGCGGGATCTTTTCCTCCAAGCTTGCTGCTAGCCGCTTGCTACCAGCCGCTAGCCACCAGCCTCTAGTCACTTGCTACCAGCTGCTAGCCTCCAGCTGCTAGCCACCAGCCGCTAGAGGCCAGCCACCAGTCGCCAACCACTAGTCACCAACCACTAGTCATTAGCTACTAGTCGCCAGCAGCTAGTCGCTAGCCGCCAGCCACTAGCTGCTAGCGGCCAGCCACTATTCGCCAGCTGCTAGCCGCCAGCCACTAGCCGCTAGCGGCCAGCCACTAGCGGACAGCCACTAGCTGCTAGCGGCCAGCCACTAGCGGACAGCCACTAGCTGCTAGTGGCCAGCCACTAGCCACTTGCAACCAGCCACCAGCCGCCAGCCGCCCGCCGCTCACAGCAGGTTGACCTTAGCCACCACCTGCTTGCAGCCCGTCTTGGAGTATTGGCGGCCCCCGGCCTCGGGGTAGTACTCCACCTCGGCGGCCAGCCGCTCCACGTGGGCGCGGTCCGGGTAGAAGCCCTCGCGGCTGACCTCGTCCAGGAAGCAGTCGGCCACGTGTCTCCGCTCCAGCAGCCCGAGCAGCAGCAGGTCGGCCTCCGCCCAGAGGGGGTGGAGCCTGTTCAGCTCGCCGCGCACCAGAGGCTCCACCTCGCCGAGGGCGCCGCCGCCGGCGCTGGAGGCGTTGTGCAGCAGGTGGCGGGTGATGTGGGCGTGGCCCAGGTTGCTTAGCAACAGGTAGACGGCGTTCAGGTGCTCGTTGGAGCGCTCGGCCTTGTCCAGGACGAAGAGCGGGATCTTGTCCTCCAAGCTTGCTGCTAGCCGCTTGCTGCTAGCCGCCAGCCTCTAGCCACTTGCTACCAGCCGCTAGCCGCCAG